TGCGCAATAGCACCCAGAGGTCATTGGGCCCTCAACACCATGACAACTAACTGTGATCCAATAAGGTGTTCACATACTGATCACGCGTGTTATCTTGATGATGATTGACGTTTTCATACACGGACAGGGCCGGGTTACAAAACGAATCACGAGATTTTTGCTTATAAAACTCTTTGGTCAGTTGTTTTGTATTTCAACGTATTTGGATTGCGATCTCCTGGAGCATTATGGCGCAAACGCGCAAAATACTTACAGACGCATATACAAGTTGTATTAATCGCGGCTAATCCACACTGAAAGATGTTAATGAGCGGTAATTTTGGAACGGATTGAGTCGCGAACGCTTGAAAGCCATGAAAGCCTTGAATGCCTTGTGTGCCTTGTATGCCAAGTATGCCAATGTCTTAGTTGAAAAACGTTCACTTGATGTAAAAAGCAAAATCTGAAATCTGAAACCAAACTGCATATACTCTACGCAATCTATTGAACAACACTACTACCGTGAGACTGAAGAACATAACTTTAGTGGATGCAAACTGCTTGTGAAGAAAGACGACATGTTGGATTCACTTGATGGCAAGGAACGTAGCTACGATAACAGTACGAATGGTATTAATTTCACGATCAGAAAGGTGAATCTTATGTTTGTTTTCATTGTAGTTGTATGGATATTCTTTTTTAATAAATAAGTGATCCAAAACCCTGTGTTTTTTTGTGTATAATGTTATTATGTTAAATATTGTTTACGCAATTGTCTTGTCACAGGTGGCGCAAGCTCACGTCTCGAGAAAAAGCCAACGATTAATTCATGAACGTGTCACGTGTTGTGTGACTCGGTGTTAAGTTACGAGAGGAACTGTTGGAAATTTGAACACGTTATAAGGAATAGTATGGGGAACGAAGTATGGTCGTTTACAACGATAAATATTTCGAAATATGAACATTTTTCTCGTAAAATCAATAAAAATTACTCATACCCTGTGTATCCGTTGTATTTTCTGGCTATTTCTGCCCTTTTAAGCTTGCTTTACTATCACTGTTATTTACGTCATTTACTTTTATTACGTTGATAAAATCTGTACAGACATCACACCAACCAACTCGCGCGCAAAGTAAGAAGACTATATTGAAGGCTTGAAATAATATTGCGATCGATTTTCATTAAGAAATGGGCCAGGAATATTCCACAGCAATGCAAATAATCGCGAAGGGGGATCGCAGAAAAGCGATTGCGTGACGCGCGGTAAGCTGTAAGATGACATGTTATTATATACCAGACCGGTAAAAACTCTTCAGATTCTTAGTCTGCATTTTGTACCCACTCTGCAGTGTGCAGTCTATATTTTGTATCCGGTCTGCAGTCTGCTGTCTGCATTTTGTACTAACAGGTATCCGTGGCACCAATACAGTTTATTTTTGGTTACATTTATTCGCAAAACACACATAATCTACCTCAAAATACCTGTGAGTGAGGTAATTCGACATTTTCGTTCTTTCCCACATTAATATTCTTCTCTCCTTTTGTAAGAATGTAGACATCACTCACAATGTTTCAAGTAATCCACCCGCCCTACAAAAAAGTAACTCTTGCATGCATAGCATGCCTATGTTTTGAAATAGGTGTATGCCCTTGGCCAGACTTGAGCGCACTATTTCAGTATACAAGTCCGACACCCGTAGTATCACTACACTTGATTCCAAGGATCCAGTACCATCCAGGTATCCCAGTTACCCTGCTCACAGGGTCTAGTTTATTTGTCAACGCTGCTTTCGAAGCCTCTTTAAAAAAGTTGTGCTGTCGTCCTTCGCTTTAATTGTTTTTAGTGCAACTACTGTCAACTACAAGTCACAAGGGTAGTTCAGTAACAAAAGGTTATGGTTCTATAGATTACTGTTAACGTTTTCAGGAGAACTTTCACCTTACCGATGGTCAAGCGAGTCTGTGATTACAAAAGCAGCATTCCAAGAAATGTTGCCGTTGTTGGTTTTTTTTTTATGAGCATACCATGCAGCCCCACAAATACATTTTTTTTCAAGCGTGAAGAGCCTAGTATCACCATCCAAGTGGCCGCTGAAAGAGGCGAAGCAATTTTTCACGATGCACAAATAATTACAGTATGAGTGATGTGCAACTTACTAAGTTACTTGTCACGCCAGCAGTTAATATTCGAGTAGTAGACTTCCACACAATAACTAACGTAGTTCATAACCTATGAAAAGCTCCGTCTGATCAAAAATAATTCTGAAAACAAACATTTCTGCAATCTAAACCGTGAGGAACTCAGAGAGCGCTTCCTCTTCTGAATTTAAATTCGGGAAATTTGGTTACTGAGAAGTGTACAAATATTGTATTTTTTAAAAGGTAATGTTTACAAGTTGCAAGGAGCAGCCCAATACAATGTAAAGGCATTTAGTAATTTTATCTGTATCAAGAAAGAAAGCTAATCCCACCTTGTTTCTCCAAGCCTGTTAGCCTCATGATGGCGTGGAGCAACTTGCACAAATCTTCATTCGACTCGCTTAATAACTTTAATCTGTTTTTTATTTTAGCCAATTCCACTTTTGTTTCTCGGGCGGAAGACATAACTACTTCATTATGGTCTCCAGTGATGAAAACTTTGCCATCCGAGACGGTCGTATCCACTCGAGTGGATGAGGAAATATGAGGTGAAGCCACAAAGATCAGGAGCAGACAAAAACGAATCGATTTAGTAGTCAACATAGCGACAGAAAGAGGTCTGCTAATAAGACTGAGTCATCAGAGAAACCAAAGCAATTTTTTATGAAGCACGATGAATTTTGATAAATGTAAATAGAACAAGTTTATTTTTCTGGACGACGATGACGTTTGCTTTTTGCGTTTTATAAGATACTTGTGACACGGTTGATTACCAGCCCCATCAGTTGATAAACTGGACTTTCAGTGAAATAGTAGGAGTGATTTAGACATCATTTATACAGTTGCACTTCAATTTATCGTCTCCCTTTCCTTATTTTTTTCCTTCTCTTTTTTTATTACATTTTTGTTTTTTTTAGTTGCATTTTAGTTTGGGTTTTCCTGTTTTTCAGTTTGATGTTTCCTTTCACATGCTACTTTTTGACGAAAATTGTGTTCAATGTGTACAGAGACGGTTGTCTTCAATTACGTAATTTTGTAGCACACTACTAAATACACTACAAGAAGAAAAAAAAAGGAGGAGAGGTTGCAGGAATGTGTTCAGTATATACTCAGTTTCCGAAATGCCTTGTTCTGCCAATATCGGAACTAAGCATGCGTTTTTACAATTTGTACGATTAGACGACGTATCAGACAATACAAGAGGAGCCATGAGAGGAGTAGTATTGTTATCTTTCTCTCTCACTTTTCCACCTTTGCTAACACATCGAGTGATTAACCCTACGAATTGCAAGCTAGTAGCGACGTAAGGGATGAATAGAAGTCGAACAACAGCGTAATAGATGTGGGCTGACAAATTGTGATGCCGATATTTGAAATTCAAATATATATCTTTGCAGTCTTGGCAGTTGTTTCATTGGTTTCAAGCAAATCCGTGTCAACAGACCGGGATGTTGACACTGAGGTTTTCATTCATGTTCGGATAGTTCAAGCGATTACATGAGCCCATGGCGACCATCGATCAGAAGGGAATTTTTGGAACAAGAAAGCGCCAGGTTATTTTCCAACGTTTTCATCTTGTTCTACAATTTTTCCTCTTTGATGATAAGTGACGGCAATTTCAAACGTTCTTAGAAACAAAGGAGTGACAACCAGGACAATTTTCTAAAACGGAACAACATTTTTGAGCCAACAAGACATATTTTGACATTCCTACCTCAACAAATTCCTTAGTTTTGAAAGCTTCAAATGCATCATTTGAGCTTTCAGTGTGCACTTTACATTTTTAAAACTAGCTTTCGCATTTCTTTCTCCGATGTTCTGCCGTTAAGCTACAGGAACTCTATAGTGAGCAGGGCCATTACATAGCTCATATGCGACGCATGTCTCGCATACTGCTAGAACCAGCAATGTTGAACTGAGCCACGTGCGAGTAAATAGACTAAGAAGGGCGGCAAAGTAAAAAAAACCCATAGCTCTTTCTACATTCAACGATTGAGCCAAAAATCAAGCAATAGAGGAATTTTTCCGAGTTTATATTGCATCATCTAAACACGCAGGGAGTTGGGAAAGTTATGCTAGCGCCAGACGCGGTAAGAATTCTCCAAAGCCTCGAGTGTTTGAATGATCGAGGCTTTGCAACCAGGGAAGAATGCTATACTTCAGAGATTCAACCTTTCAATTTATTCTTTCTTGCGTTAGTCGCCTTAGAAGTTTTTGTTTCTCTAGAGCTGCCTTAAAATTAACAGCTTTAATCTGTCTTTCTTAATTTCATACTAATGAATACTTTGATACATTTTACCACGAATTTACAAAATGTCCTTACCAGTGTGGAAAGTTAGTCCTTCACGTTGCAAATTAGCTATACGAGCTTGTAAAATGGAAACATTTCATAACGAAGAAGAAGGGCACGTTATATTTGGTGCCATCACGTTTACCGGCGATTGTTTTAAATCTGGAAATCTAATTAACCTTTTTTAAAGCTATTTCAGCAACACCATTGAGCAAGTTATTTGTTATTTTATCTAAGAAGTGTGCAATATCTTTATCATGCGTTCGGTAGTTTGCATTTTGCAACTTTGCATCTTTTTAACCAGCGAGAACAATGATGACAGGGAAAAACTGACACGAACAGAAAAGGTGCGGATGGTTTTAGTTTTTGCAGCTCATCACTTGATAGGAAAACCAAATCAAGACATTCCCGAGTTATTTTCGTTACTCAGTTTAAAAATTGCATGGACCGAAAAAAATTGGTCTTAGCATTGGTAGGATGGTCAAGAAAAGATACGGCCACACATCAGATTATCAACAAAGAGCTGTCAAAATTCATCTTTAATGTAACATCTTTCACGATGTTTACAAACCACGTCATAGATTTTTCACTTCAGCACGATGGCTTAATTATCTTCACTGAGCCCTTGATGTGAGCTTTGAACTCGCGCCACTGAAACACGTTGCCCACCCCCGTCAGGCACGACTTTGACATGCGTGCGATTTCTCGGTCTTTTATGACGTGATCCCAAATGTTGACACCTGTCATTTCACCGATGAAAGATTGAATGGCTTCAAATTTTCCTCCCTTTGAGTCTTGCTCCTGCCCTAGTACCAGGGATCCATTTGCACGAATCACTTTACCTGTGGGGAGATAAATAAGAAATTAAGGAAAACGATAAATTCACCAGTTAAAAAAGATTCAATTTTGTCTTTTTCTTTGATTAAGCAAATATTTGGAGGAAATGATAAAAAGACTGGAAAGTGGGTACATTTTTTACTTTTTTAGTTTTCTTAATCAATAATTTACCGAATAAGTGAGTCATGTCGCTCTGTTTGTTCCAACCCCCGCATTACTTTTTGGGAACCATGCACTTTATCCTTAAGTGACTAACATAACGTACACTGTAGCATTTAAGTGATAAATTTCACAATCTCTTATTAGGTAATTTTACCATCACAGTGACGTGTATTTTTGTCAAGGTTTTTGCATGTTTTTCAAATATTTATCTTTTTGGCATCATTGATCATTACCCCGTCAGAGTTTGTCTGTTATATTTTTCTTGTTATGCGCATTTCTCGGTTTCTCTAGTATCCTTAGTCTTCATTCGCCTTTTTCAGCTTCTTAGGGTGGTTTTTCTCAACGTTACTTGCAAATCACATATAGAGCATTCAGGAGGGAATTTTTCACTAATCGTTTTTTCTCCGCAGAAGGCGGTTTAGTTAACAACGTAATTATTTGCGGTTAGTTTCTGCGATAATTTTACGCAGTTTCCTCCCAGAGACTTTCGTTCTCAGTGGCCGTTACAATGTAAATGCAAACCGGGTTTAACTAAATGAAAATTAGGAAAAGAGAACTGAAACACTGAATTTATCATGGGTTTCAAGTATTTGACAACATTCAACAGTGAACAGCAAACATTAGTTTAGGTGGCTTCTATGTAGAAAACAACCTTTTAACTGACCGTGTTTAACGAAACGGTTTTTATGGAGTATAAGTCTATCTACGCCTTCCATTTAAAACTACTTTTAAGTTTGAGTACACTTCGTACTTCGTTGATTTTAATCAATATTTGAACTTGCGGAATCCTGCATGGCAGTTTTGTCATTTCGGCCTCTTTGTATTAGCAGTTACACACACTAAACATTTAATACTATTTTACGGACTATTGCTAAAAGAAGAATTTACCTGTTTGAAAACTTTTACCAGAAGCAGCAACCGAACCATCTCGAAACAATTTCCATGATCCAGCGGTATTCTCCCATGTGAGGCAGATATGATGCCACTTTCCATCATTGGCGGATACAGAAGTATAACCACTATAATTAGCAGCAAAACGCGAGAAGTGTAATTTTAGTATCTTAAAGCTTACAGCAACATTAAATCAAAACAACTATTGTGATTAATAACAGAACAAAACTTCAGATTAAATACTTAAACCTGTGATGGTTGTTGATGAAAACCCTAAAATTTCTATAGTTATACAGGAGAAGCTCCTCGCGTCCTCCAGACACAACATAGCTCAGGGGTGTTCCTTCATTTCTAGTATCAGCGGTTTTCATCCACAGACAAACTGTCACAGCTGACAGGTTTGGCATACCACGAGTGATGATGACGTAATCACTGGTTCCTTTTCGTGGAAATTGCAGAGCGTACCCTGCAACTGTAGAATTAATCAGTTTTTTTATTTGTCAACGCTGCTTTCGAGACTTCTTTAAAAAAATTTCTGCTCTCGTCTTTAGATTTAATTGTTTTTGGTGCAACTGCTGATTTGATGCAAGTCACAAGGGTAGTTCAATAACAAAAGGTTCTATAGTTTACAGTTAACGTTTTCAGGAGAACTGTCACCTTACACCTTTTTCAAACCATTGGTCGAGCGAGTCCCCGATTACAATAACAGCGTTCCAAGAAATGTTGTCGTTGTTGGTTTTTTTTTTATGAGCATACCACGCAACTCCACAAACAAATTTTTTTCAAGCGTGAAAAGCTTAGTATCACAACCCAAGAGGCCGCTGAAAGAAGTGAAACAATTTTTCACGATGCACAAATAATTACAGTTATGAGTGCTGTGCAACTTATTGGGTTACTCGCCACACCAGCGGTTAATATTCGATTAATAGATTTCCACCCAATAACTAACGTAGTTCAGTATAACCTATGAAAAGCTTCGTTTGGTCAAAAATAACTCTGAAAACAAACATTTCTGCAATCTAGACCGTGAGGAACTCAGAGAGTGTTCCTTCTTTTGAATCTAAATTCGGAAAATTTGGTAAATGAGAAGCGTACAATTACTGTATTTTTTAAAAGGTAATGTTTACAAGTTGTAAGGAGCAGCCCAATACAATGTAAAGGCATTCAGTAATCTGATCTGTATCAAGAAATAAAGCTAATCTTACCGTGTTTCTCCAAGCCTGTTAGCCTCAATTTCATGGCGTGAATCAACTTGAACAAACCTACATTCGACTTTTTCACTAACTCCAGGTTCATTCCAATGCCCTCGATTGTTTTGTTCAGCGCATCAATTTTTCCGGGTATTTCGTCAGAGGGCAAGATTCTTTGGTCCAAAGCTTTCAAATTTCTCGTCAGAACATCATTTCCCTCGCTTAACAACTTTAGTTTGTTTTTAATTTCAGCCAATTCCAGTTTCGTTTCTCGGGCGGGGGACATAACAACTTCATTATGGTCTCCAGTGATGAAAACTTTGCCATCTGAGACAGTCTTATTCACTCGAGTGGATGAGGAAATGTGAGGTGAAGCCACAAAGATCAGGAGCAGATGAAAAAAAATCGATTTAGCAGCGAACATGGCGACAGAAAGAGCTGAGGTCTGCTAATAAGAGTGAGTCATCAGAGAAACCGAAGCAATTTTTTATTAAGCACGATGCATGTTGATAAAAGTAAACAAAACAAGTTTATTTTTCTGTACGACGATATGTTTGTTTTTTGCGTTTTAGAAGATATTTGTGATACAGTTGATTACCGGCCCCATCAGTTGATAAACTGGACTTTTAGTGAGCAAGTAGGAGTGATTTAGACATCATTTATACAGTTGCACTTCAATTTATCGTCTTCCTTTCCCTTTTTTTCCTTCTCCTCTTTTTATTTTATTTTTGTCTTTTTCAGTGGGGTTTTCCTGTTTTTTAGTTTGAAGTTTCCTTTCACATGCTAATTTTTGACGAAAATTGTGTCCAATGTGTACAGAGACGGTTGTCTTCAATTACATAATTTTGTAGCACTACTTAATACACTACAAGAAGAGAAAAAAAAAATTAAGTTGCAGGAATTTGTTAAGTGTATACTCTGTTTCTGAAATGCCTTGTTCTGTCGGTATCGGAATTAAGCATTCCTTTGAAGAAGCTGTACGACAAGACGACGCATTAGACAATACAAGACGAGCCATGATAGGAGCAGCATTGTTGTTATCTTTCTCTCTCACTGTTTCACCTTTGCTAACACATTGATTAAATTACCTTACGAATTTCAGGCAAGCAGTGAAGTAAGGGATGAATAGAAGTCTAAATTTACATTGTGAGCAATTGGGAATAAAGCGAACAACAGCGTAATAGATGTAGCTGACAAATTGTGATGCCGATATCTGCAATTCAAATTTACATCTTTGTAGTCTTAGCAATTGTTTCATTGGTTTCAAGCAAATCTGTGTCAACAGACCGGGATGTTGACATTGAGGTTTTCATTCTTGTTCGGATAGTTAAAGCGATTACATGAGCCCACGGCGATCATCGATCAGAAAGGAATTTTTGGAACAAGAAAGCGCCAGGTTATTTTCCAACGTTGTCATCTTTTTCTACAATTTTTCTTCTTTGATGATAAATGACTCCAATTTCAAACGTTCTTAGAAATAAAGGAGTGACATCCAAGACAATTTCCTAAAATGGAACAACATTTTTGAGCCAGATATATTTTGACATTCCCACCTCAACAAATTCCTTAGTTTTAAAAGCTCCAAATGCATTATTTGTGCACTTTGCTTTTTTAAAACTAGCTTTCGCATTTCTTTCTCCGATGCTCTGCCGTTAAGCTACAGAAAATCTATAGTGAACTGGGCCATTATTTAATAGATAATTACTGAGGTTCGCAGCATTATTGGGTATAATGCAGGCAGCTTCGGCCTGCGGCCTCAGCTGCCTGCATTATACCCAATAATGCTGCGAACCGAAGTAATTAACTATTATAATTATTGACCCTCATAAAATCCTATTGTTCTCTCTCTGCATTACATCGACGATTTCAGTCGCCCCTTCATATTGATGTTTTGGTACACCAACAATGCAACTGGCAAGCATTGTCCAGTAATAATACAAATTGTATAATCCTTTTTCATTCCCCAATTCAGCCATTGTTAACTACTTGCAAAGATGATATAATCATTGACTCTCATGAAATCCTACTATTTTCTCTCTCCAACAATGCAATTAGCACGTATTGTCTAGTAGTTCTACAAATTACATAACCCTTTTCATTTCCCGGAATTTAGTCATTGTTAAATCCTTGTGAAGATTATGTAACTTTCCACATCTTTCAGGTGTGTGATTGAATTTCATGCAAACGTAATTTGCATTGTATATTAACGCAGTGCACTTGGTTATTTGAGTTGTTTGTTGGAAGGCAAAGAGTTGCTACTGTTTTGAAGCTTGATGGAGGATTCTTCGGAAGACGATGGACAAAGGGAAGAAACAGGGTTACAGGGGTTAAGCGAAAAGGTTTTAGACGAAAACCAGAGCGAAGATTATAATCAGTCAGTTGTAATTAGTACTCACAGTACGAAAATTGTTATTTCTTACAAGTGAGAAAGACTGTCATTGTCAGATGTGCCCTAAATAAATTGTAAAATGTTTTCGTCTGTACGTCTCCTGGAATGGTACTTCTCATGGTGTATTCATTTACTTTTTAACTTCAGATCTTCATCATAAATTATGCGCGGACATTCGCGAATTTTCAAATTAGTAAATACCACAGTCATGCAGCAATATTAAAAATATTGCTGGAAGCAGGCTGCACTATTAAAAATATTGCAGTGCAGCCAGCCCACTGCAATATTGAACGTTTTAGCGCGTTTAGGATTACCCCTGATAATTTCCCTGCTACCAAAAAGGACCGCCACCGTTTTCCTCAGACAGTTGGACTTGACTGAATATGAATACTTTCTCAGGCTGAAATCGCCGATATAATGCTGAGAGAGAACAATAGGATTTTATGAGGGTCAGTAATTATATAGTTCATATGCAACGCATGTCTCGCATACTGCTAGAACCAGCAATATTGAACTGAGCCACGTGCGAGTAAATAGACTAAGAAGGGCGGCAAAGTAAAACAAAAAGCCATAGCTCTTTCTACCTTCAACGAACGATCTAAAAATCAAGCAATAGAGGAATTTTTCCGAGTTTATATTGCATTATTTAAACACGCAGGGAGTTGGGACAACTCGAGAAAGTTATGCTAGCCCAAGACGCGGTGAGAATTTTCCAAAGCCTCGAGTGTTTGAATGAGGCCATGCAACTAGGGAAGGAAATCATTGTTTACATATCCTCATCTAAACATCTCGAACGTAGCCATAAGATTGAGTCCACCAACATATCCTTTACTCCAGACTTATTGCTAACTAGTAGGTTTTGATCCCAAGGCGTTTTACATGTTTCGATTAACATCAAATAAAAGATCATGCGCTTGAGTAGCATTTACGACATGTTGTTAGTGATACTAGGAAAGTCTTTTCAGTCTCCGAAAACAGGATCTCTTTTAGCCTGTGCCAGGATATCAGTTAAGCGAACCAGACGTTTTATTAACTGAAATAAAAGAACTGACCCTAAAGCTTACTGAAAAAGTTTGACATTCCCCGGCAAGGGGGGAGAGGCAAGGGGGGAGAGGGGGTCAGTAGTGGGTGTGTTGCATTGAGTGATGCATGATAATTGCGCAAAAACCGCATTAATTGGCGCAGGAAAAAAAATGCGGGTCACCGGCAAGACGTTTCAAACGCAAGAAGCTTAAAATTCCTTTCCACAAGAAGCTGCAAGGGGTAATTAATGCAACTGTGAACTGCCAACAGCGATAAGAAGTTGTTTTGCAACATTTTGGTAACTTCCCAACTTATGCGTCACCACCGAGTGGTTGATCAGCGTAACAGATGCTGACCCAAACACTTCTATTGAGAAGAGAGATAAGATATAGTCAGTAGGCAGTACAAGCCAATTTTTTGTTGTGTAAATTTCCAGGACTGCCCGCTAAAATCTAAATGAAGAGAATGGCCAAAATGATTCGCTAATTTTACCATAGTTACTTTTTCGCTCAAGTTGGAAAATAAGAGTCCCAATATTTTGTTTTCTTCATAATGTGCTGTGAAAAGAGCTCTCTCTCGACTGGATTTAACTTGTTTCGAATTACTTTCGACTTTCTTCAGTCATTTAAAGCTGCTTTGTGAGAATAAAATCGTCCACAGAACACGTGAAACCACTTACTCATTTAAAGTCGTAGATCTCAACTACGGTTAGCAGTAAGAGGTATATTTTCTGTGACTTCACAAGGGTGATTTCACATCCTTGTATAAATATTTCACTCGCTTGCTCGAAATTATTTCCTCTACGAACGTTCTGATACCAAATACTCTAATAAAGGAACGTTTCTAAGGAAACCATGGTTAGTTACCTCTCTCTTTGTGCTTTTATGTGGCATATCCCAGCGCCTCATACGATATTCACGTTCTTGAGCGTAAGTAATTTGCAGATTTGTATGTAAACATAACTACGACCATGATTGCGTCGTGGCGTAGGTACGTTAACCTTGATTTTCACTTGATGTTAAAATATCAGATTTGACACATCTGGTGCGCATGGCGAAGCCAAATTAAGATATATATATATGATAAGGCTGATTACTAGTCAAACTACAGAGATTTGTTTCTCATGCATCTAGAAATACCTCTCAAAACCGAGTTAAGTTACGGACCGAGTGTTTCTGCTTGGAGTTATAGCCCCTTTGAAGTGAGTGGGCCGCACAGTGAAATACGACCCGCTAAATTGACCAATCATAGCGCACATACTGAATAAGGGATATGATAAATAAAATATATATTATCCACGACAGAAGGTTATAGATAGGGGTCTTCATCTTTTTTTCTCTAATCGTCCTTCACCATAACTACACATAAACATCCTTCTTCAGTCGTATGTCTTACCTTTCTGTGCCCCGCATAGCCTTTGTCTTGATACATACAGCGTAATAAATATCAATAACAGGACCAGCAAGACAGCCATGGTGAGCAAACAAGCGATCTTCCAGTTTGCAGCTGTTACTAGTTGTTCTTCATCAACACACAATGGTCACATTCTGAAACGTAACGAGATGTTTACCCTGGTTTCATTAAACGTACGCAATACCAAAAGAAAATACAACAAAAAAAGGATCTCTGATCAGGTTGGTGAAAAATTTCGATATCTGTATGTAGTTTTCGCATTTGAAAATGAAAGTATTAAGTCAACATTTTTTTTAACAAGTTTCACTATTTGCCGTTTGTATATCCAAGAATTGAAACGACAATTGCAAACGTCGTGCACCACTTTCACAAAGAGTTCTAACCCTTCACTCCTAACATAAGCAGGTGTTAAATTGATCAAAATACGACTCCCAGGTGAATATCTCGTCATTTTTGTGTCTAGTGCGTTACACCTAGACACCTTACAAAAGCGGTTAAAGATTGAGTGTCAACAAATGACGTAACGCCTTATGGGTTTTTTGTGAAGTTTACATTACGTGTCAGGCTACATGAGGTAAGCGATCATCGCGTAACACAAATTTTACGAGAATGCGTAACCAGTGAAGTGGCGTAGCCACGTGGATATTTAGTCATAAGATCTGTCGTGCTAAGTCGAAAATCCTTATTTGGTGAGCAAAACTCCTGAGGCAAACAAAGGGATATTCGGAATCGAAGAGGCAAAGGTTGTAGAAGACAATGTGCTTTGTCAACCGTCGCGTTTTAAGGGCGGACTGAGGTGGCGAGGAAAGTTTATTTTGGCGAGTAAACAAGACTTTTCTAAGATACTCATACCTGCTCTCACCTTTATAATTGATCTTTTGTAGTTTGTTCATCGTCACTTTGCTGTTAATCGACACGTGGTCAGCGCCCGCCATAAGGTTAGTATAGAGTTAACAGATTTTACGACTTTTTTTTCTGCACAAGGATCCACCCCCCAATTACTAAGACATTGTATAGTTTGTATTTTCCTTTCGTATTAACTTTTAGATTCTTTGAAGTCGTTCAATCTTAATTTCATTTAAGTAAGCCTTTTATTGGAACGCCCCAAATATGTGCGAAAAGTCGTCGCAAATTGTACCTTAATTGTATCAATCTTTGTTTTACAGAACTAAATATTTTATGGAAATTCACATGTTGAAATTTGTGCGATTTATTCATAAAAATGGGTGACCGCCTAATAGAGGGACTTTGGGGACTTTGAAAACCGACCACTTAGTACAGGTTGACCGCTTAATACAGTGCTGCTTGATACAATTCGACTGTACGTTTTTGTCAGTTATCCACCAACAAGCAGAACTCATGTTGCGGTGGTTCCCTGTACAGGACTGCTTTTACTTAAATCTGACATCTGTAATTCATAACCTTTTTATTATCTGCTGAGCCAGAGGTAAAAGAGGGAGGCTTAAAATGAGTTATCACATACTATATTCACAAACTGTTTTATCGTTCAAATCCAACTGGAATTAAGATAGAACTGTAAAAGCTGTGCCTTTTGCTTCATATCAGTCAGAAAGAAACGAACAGGGTTCAGGGTTGCTTAGGGGGATATAACTGTGTGATAATAATCAATATTGAACACACCACAAAAATCGTAATAAAATATCAAAATTTACTGTTTATACTTTATAGAGAGAAGTTAATAAAAGTTGATCACATCGCGTGATGAAGGCTGTGTCTTCGATTAGCATTAGAAGTGACTACATCATGAGGGCATAATTAGCTGCGAAAGGTTTTACGATGAGACAAACAGTGGCGGTTATAGTTTACTGGAAAGGAATAAAGGCGAGAATGTTTCCCAGGTAAAAGAATATGGTGCTTTTTAGGAACTGCTCGATGTTATTGTCTTCAGCTTTGAAAATTATGGAGATACTGGCTCGGTGAGATCACCGGCTCAAAACTCAATTCAATAAGAAGTCAACCTATCTAAGCTGGTGCTGGTGATGAAAGGATGAAAAAGATGTCCAGGTTTGCTTCTGTATGGTCGTGGGCGAGCATTTGTTTAGTACCACAAAAAAAGAGGAGACACGTACACCAAGATATATTGATGTTTACAAAAAACAGGAAAAATAGATACAAACTTGATTTAAAACATTTCTATAACAGCGTCTTCATGGCTCTTTAATGTTGAAAATACTGGTTGTTACCGATTTTATCTTCGGAGAATGTTACCACTCGCAACCCGTGACCCGCGACTACTGGTCAAACTCACGACAAGTTATTGGTGATAGCAAGAAACACATTGACTCTTCGAAAACAACATCTCTCTTGGTTTGGACTTGGATATTAGTTGAGAGAGAAACGAAAAACAGACGTACTAAAAATTGGCAAGCAACTTGGTGCATGTCGGTTGCGGGTAACCATGGTTGTTAGGGATACAGCAATAGAAAGAGAGCGCTCTTTTGCATGCCATTTTTTACACATTCTATTTTTTTTGGCGCGGAAAAATTTTTCGCTCTCCTGCTCGTCTCCACCAACTGAATGCCTGGAACTTGAAGAAAAAGGATAATAAAGGGCAAAAATAAGAAATAAAGAAAGAAAAAAGGGAGAAAAGGAACAAAAAAGAAAATAAAAGAAATAATTATAAAAGAGGTACTACCTCAAAGTTTCAACCCTTTCAACTTATTTTTTCTTGTGTTAATCGGCCTTGAAATTTTGTTTTTGAAAAGGTGCCCTAAAGTTAACGGCCTGGTTGTATTTTCCATTCATATTAATTAATATTTTCATACATCTCACAAGATCTCAGGGTAACTTATTTCCCAGAGCGGAAAGGTAATTCTTCACGCGGAAAATTAGTAACGCAAACTTGCAAAATGATAAGAGTAATTTTAAGAACGGAAACGTTCTATAACATTTAGGAAGTTTCGCAGTGAAAAAGAAGAGTACTTAACACTTAGTGCCATCATTTTTACGATTGTTTTGAACTTTGAAAACAAACTTAATGAAACAAGCCTAAACTATCTAAATACGATTGAAAGTTAAACTTCAGTAGAGCATTGCGCATTTCAATTTAAGCAAGAAGGCTGAACTATCTGCACTGAGCCCATTCGGTGATATTTGAAGTCGCTCCACTGAAACAAATTTCCCGTCCCTGTCAAGCACGATTTGGACATGCGCCTGATTTCTTGGTCTGAAATCACGTGATTCCAGATATTGACATCTGCCATTTCACCAATGAAACTTTGATGTTCTTGAAAGCCTCCTCCCAATTTGTCTTGATCCTGTCCAAGTACAAGGTGTCCACCTCCGCGGATCAATCGGCCTGTAATTAAGAGCAAGAATATGTCTCCATTCCTTCGCTAGTCGTGCTTTTAAACCAATTTGTGGAAAAGTAGTTGTTGTTGTTTTTTTATTGTTAGTTTTTTTAAAGGTATTTTAGTAATACCAGAACAAACAATTTAAATAAAGTTGTAGTAAGCAAAACGTTTAATCTGCAAATGTTCATATTTTTTGTTAAAATACTCGACCTGCCTGATGGCAAAATTTTGTGAATTAGTTTGATGTTCGATATTTTCTGAGTACAACTTACCTTTTTCTAATCCTGTACCATTATCCCCCAAATAACCATCCTTGATCAATTTCCACGATCCAGCGGTATTCTCCCATGCTGCGCAGATGTGATGCCACTTTCCATCGTTGGCAGATACACGGGTGTAACCACTATAATGAACATTGAAAGGATTTAAAGTTTTTCCTTAATAATCCATTTTGAAAAGTTTAAACGATTGATAAAGTAGTTGAAGATTAATGGTGTGATAGATTTTGAGTCTGGTGCGATAATTATTGAACCTGTATCCCTCTTCTATCTCTTTCTGCACGTAGAGAGGTGAAATGCTAAAATATCATCAAGCTCTGTCTGCAAGGCATTTGATACCACTTTCATGAGATGGTTTATTGTTAACCTCTCATAATTCTAAACCTCTCATGATTCTAAAACTCTCAAATTTCACTCGAAAGTCTATTCAGCCCATCAATTTGAGAAATTTTGATTGAAAAAAAGGCAACTGAGGATCGTACGTTCACACCTCTCCCTTTATTCACTCATTACCACAAATGTTCAGACGTGATATAATTTGAGAAAGAAAAACGCACAACGCCGAGAGTTTTTAAGTCAACCATCGGCTTTGTCCAATAGTGCTTTATTTTATGGATGATAAGTGTAAGGAAATAGCATTCAGGGCTCCGCCATTAGGATTAGCTAAATATGGTTCATTAAATAGCTCTGGCTACATTTACTATTGCTGATTCACGATTCAAATAGTACAGGACGGGTTCTGCACATCATGCGCAGTGTATCGTTCCTATTCCTCAATGAAACCGTATTCTCGTACCTCCCAACTGATCGCACACCGAACCCAAAATGTCCGGGCATTATTAAGAACAGTTCGTTATCCGATCCACTCACAGCATAGCTGAGAAGTGCTCCATTCTTTCCTGTAGCATTAGTCTTTATCCACATACAAACTGTCACAGCTGTAAGGCTTGGCATTCCATGCGTGATGATTACGTAATCATTTTTACTCTTATATGGAAATAACAAAGAGTAGTTCGGGCTGACTGAAATCAATTGAAAGGAAATTTGGTGAGGAATGGAATGTTCTACCCACTAGAAAAGTCTGAAGCTCTTCCCTTTAAGAATGAATAGTAACATATCACAGAATCAAGAATATTCCTTGTTACATCTAACATTCCAAGTGATTTCAAGACAAATTCTACTAAAACTTGACACCCCATAAAGCTATGACAATTATAACTCTAACAAGACGAGCCCAACTAATTTTTCAAAACACTAGACAATTTATCCGGTGAATATTACATGCACTTTGCAATTATTTCCAAGGCAACTTCAACGACGCTTCATTAAAGGAACGAAACACCCACAAACGTAATAAAATTGCATATTCGATCTACAACGGGACTCGTAGTTTTTCAGTGACCTGCAATACATAACAGATATGTCCGGAAGCATCTTGCCAATCTCAACCCCACAACGTCCGAAAAACCAACAAATTGATGATTGCGTTTTGACATTCACTGACTAAAGGTAGATACACACAAACGAGATTAGGGATTCCAGTTCCTGGGCTTCCTGTAACATCAGAGAGGTTTGCAGGTACTTCAACGGAAAACTGACTGAACATAAACGAGCGATGACGTCAAAAATCAAATAGCTGAAAGTCATCAACCTACAAACAACACTATTGACTGGACTTTTCCCAGTGCTTCATCTACATCTACATCTACACCTACATTCATCTACATCTACATCTTCATCATTAGATGATCTAACTACTTTTAATGACATACTTCGTCTCCGGTTTTCATTAAGGCTAATAAAAATTTTTCAGGACTAGCCTTACCCGAAAGACACTCTAAATAATTATCGAGTGAAACTCATACCAAATTTACAAGTTGGCTGCACTCCCGTCCATGAACCGTTGTTCAAGCAGAGACGCTCTGAGGGTCCATTTAACCAGTAACCACGATTACAACTGAATGAAATAAACTCCCCCGTGCAGTTTTTTTGACTGTGTGAAAAACCATTCTTCGGGTTTTTCAACAAAGGACAAATTTTCCTGACTAAAAGACAGATACATGTAAATACATAGACGCATGAATATAAATATGTCAATATAGATTAATAAAGAAATTAATAAATCTCTTGAGAAATGTTGTTAAGTTTCTCATCTCTGATTGTACCATGATTATTTTTACATCATAATAGTTGACAGGCTAGCTAGGGTGATGCGAGTTTGCATAGGACGGTAAAGCAAAATCAAGCAATCCTTCATTACTTACAACACGCAAGTGAAAATTATTTAAAAGACGCATTCCTTGCATGACCGATGCCTTTATCGTTTCAGACGTGTTGTTAAATTGCAGAGAGAGTTCTTCGATTGACTTAATCACGAAATCCAGTTTCCTTACGACACTTTTGTTAAACGAGTGAGGAGAGTGTACCACGCATCGACTGTTTTGTTAATTAGAGCCAGTCTTCCTGAAGAAATTGAAAGACATAAATAAAGATCTTAAAATCTTTCAATAATAAATGCATGGATAAAAAAAAATTGGTTCACGGTGTAATTTCGAAATGTCAAAAACGAAACTTTTTCAAACAAATTTCGATTCTTACGGAATCAAAATGAATTTCATAAAGAAATTACCGCTGTTTTAAGTATCATTTCCAAGTTACACTGCCCTGCGTGATTGTAATTTTCACATAATTTAAAAAAAGGGGTATTAAGGTTATCTGTGTAAAGAAAAGATATCTGCGATTTTCCAAGAACTGAGATTTTGACACGCGAGTATAATTAAATGAAATTAAATCGAACCGTCAAATAAATCTTTTTTACTTTTGAAAGTCTACTTTCAGGAAATAGTATTGAATTTCTCGGGAGGTTCCCCACGTGTGTTGATAGAAGGTTTGTGTGGAATACATTCGAAGAAATGAAGCCAAAGATCACCAAGTCATTCGCAAGCAAAGGTTAGATGCGATCGGATTGCGTTACATCACATCCTTGAACATACGTTAGAAGCGTACTTTCCACTTGCCTATTGGCAAAAATTTTTGGGCTTCAAATTGGCGTTTTACATCGTTTTTATATGACCTCTTTTCTGTGGAACCTGTCTTACGCGGCCTCTCCCCCCCAGCCATTATTCGTAGGTAACCACCTAATACAGGTTTAACTGTGTAGGAAAATGATATCACAAGGGAGGATTGGTGACTCAACGTGAACGGCCACAAGTAGGAGAAATGTTCATCATTGAGTCAGACTTGTTTTTCGTTTTGCATCTCCTTGTTTGAGAGAGAGGCCCAAGTTTCCTTCATAGACCAATCACAAACCGCATTAAAGCAAAAGCAATACAACCCAAGTCGAAAATCAATGTAAATATGCATACCTTTCATTTCCAAAGCAGTCGTCCTTTCAGACATGTTCATAACATTCACGTTTACTAAATTCAGGTTTCTTTCCATATTTGTGCCCAGGGAGTCGAGGCGTTTGGACAAAGCTTCAATGGCTTTGAACATTGAGTCCTGGTTATCTATAGACAGCCATGATAAAGAAAGGTGTTAAAAGAACTGACTGTTTACGTATGAGGGACAAGGTGCTGGGTAATGATTTGAGCCCTTAAGCAAACCAGACGTTTTACTGACTGAAATAAGAGCTAAGCGTCACTGAAAAAGTTCGACATTCTCCGCATTTGAATACCGGCTCTTTTCTTTACTGAGGCCGCTTTTTCTCGGCAAAGGAGGAGGGGGGGGGGTTGGTAGCGGATGTGTTGCATTGACTGATGCGTGATAGTTGCGCAAGAACCGCATTAATTGGCGCAGGAATGCTCAAGTGAGTCAAAGAAGAGAAAGTGTAGGTCATCGGCAAGACGTTTGAAACACAAGAAGCTTAAAAATTCCTTTCCACAAGAAGCTGCAAGAGGGTAATTAATGTAACTGTGAACTGCCAACAGCGATGAGAAGTTGTTTTGCAACATTTTGGTAACTTCCCAACTAATGCGTCACCAACGAGTGATTGATCGGCGTAACAGATGTATCATTTAAAGCTGCTTTGTGAAAATAAAAATCGTTCACAGAAGAGGTGTAACCATTTTATCCGCTCTTGGTAAGACACACTGAGGAGATAAGGCAAAAATATCTTACAAATCTCGTTCTTTGGATCCGTGCATTATGTTTCTGTTCCTCGTTTTCGCCTTTGTGACTGATGGCTCACGTGCTTTGAGCTCGGCCCATGAGTCAAGAAGAGAAAATAACATATTTATTTCTGTTTCAGAGGGCGTGGTAACGAATCCTGCAATCTAATTGGTTCTTTACCCGGTCAGTATTTTCCTATCTCTGCCCACGGGCCACGGTAACGCTTTCGTGAGTCGCCGAGTACATCCCTACTTTCATTTTTCATAAATATATCTCGTTTTTCTGGCTGGGCAATATTTTTAAGCAAAGACGTTGGTCACAACCTCAAGCCGATAAATAACTTATTAATCCTCTCTTTTCGCTCTCTGAAATCACTTTGGTTGACAGAAAAATATTAGTTTCAGGATGAATTTGTATAAACAATAGTGTCATTACGTTGGTTGACAAGCGGCCTAAAAACCGTCTGCAATTAATTTTAATCGTTCACAAAAAGAACCTAGAAAGTTAAAACGTGAGGTATTTGGTTAAAGTTAACCTGATCGATGGAACTTTCATTAATTTAATATCTGAATTTTCTTAAACAATTTGTTCGTAGTGAAAGAGCGAGCGAATTTTTAAATTCAGTTCTGCAACAATTATACGCTCTCGGTGAGTCTTCCCGAGTCCGTCCAATTTGGACATTTGTACCGTAAATTGCACGACAGAAACGGAAGGAATTTATTGACAAATGGCTTCATTAAATCCCCTTGTGTCTCGTTGGAGTGCGTTATTCGAATTTAGTTTTTGCGGAGGAAAGACCAGATTTACACACGCCATTGCAGCAAACAAACGAGCAAACTCTCACAACTTCAAAATAAAAAAATTTAAATTTACTTCCAATTACTTTCCTCGCTGTTTACTTAATGAACAGATGTAAATCTTCGTACATGAATTCATCGTCGATGAGAGTGAATAATACTTTCCGTTAGATCATAGACTGTTTTTGAAAAAAACATTGCCGCGACAGTCCTTGCTAAACTAGTTTCGTTGTTTTTCAAAAGTGTACGTGCGCTTTTTTTCTTCCTTACGCGCTCTCTAATTGACAGGTGAAAATAATGTTTCAAAGTTTGTTTGGAAGCCTTTTAAATCACCTTTATCAATACGCAAATGAAAATATTTCGGTGAAGTATCTCTTTTTAAATTGCATCACCTCTATTATAACTACCATTTACTCGCTCAAAAACTGTTCTGTTTATGGAAGATCTTGCCGTATTTTCAGCCCTAAATCATTCGGGTTCTTTCGGAAAGAATTTCGCTAAGTTAAAAAAATAAATAAATATATTATTTACCGGCTAAGGGTCGGTCCGTATGGTGAAAAACTGTGACCTGACCTGTAACATATATGTATGGACCCCAAATACGGTTAGTAATAAGAGGTGTATTTTCTGCGACTTCATTGGGGTGATTTCACATCGCCGTGTAAATCTTTCACTCGCTTGCTCGAAACGGTTTCCTCTACGAACGTTCTGATACCAAAAACTCTAATAAAGGAACCTTTCTGAGGAAACAATGGTAAGTGATCTCTCTCTTTGTGCTTTTATATGGCATATCATGCACCTCATGCGATATCCACGTCTTTGAGCATAGGTGATTTGCAGATTTGTATGTAAACATAACTACGACTATGATTGCGCCGTGGCGTAGGTAAGTTAACCTTCTTGGCAAGAACCATTTTGCTTGATTTTCATTGGATATTGAAAGATCAGATTTGACACATCTAGTGCACATCGCGGAGCCAAATTGAACAATATATGAGAAGGCCGATTACCAGTCAAACTCTAGAAATTTGTTTTTCATACATCTAGAAATACCTCTTACTAACCGAGTTCAGTTGCGGACCGAGTTTTTCTGCTTGGAGTTACAGCCCCTTCGAAGCAGGCTGCACAGTGAAATACGACCCGCCAAATTGATCAATAATAGCACACATACTGAATGAGGAATATGATAAATGTAATATATGTTATCCACGGAAGAAGATTACATATAAGGGTCTTTTATCTTTTTTTCCCTAATCGTCCTTCACCATAACTGCACATAAACATCCTTCTTCAAACGTATGTCTTACCTTTCTGTGCCCCGCATAGCCTTTGTCCTGAAACATACAGCGTAATAAATATCAATAGCAGGACCAGCAAGACAGCCATGGTGAGCAAACGAGCGATCTTCCAGTGCGCAGCTGTTACCCACCCCCTGTTAGTCTTCTGGCGCTGTTCTTCATCATTACGCAATGGTTGCATTCTGAAACGTAACGAGATGTTTACCTTGGTTTCATTAAACGTACGCAATACCAAAAGGAAATATAACAAAAAAGGATTCCTGATCTGTATGTAGTTTTCGCATTTGAAAATGAAAGTATTAAGTCATCATTTTTTTTAACAAGTTTCAATATTTGCCGTTTGAATATTCAAAAATCGAAACGACAATTGCAAATGTCGTGCACCACTTTCACAAAGAGTTTTAACCCTTCACTCCTAACATAAGCAGGCGTTAAATTGATCAAAATCCGAAATTCTCCCTTGTTAACAGGCTTGGAGTTTTGATACTGTTTTTTCTAGTGCAGGGGGCGGCTGTTCACAGGCTAAGGTGTTGTTGTCGCTGATTTTTTTCCTTTTTTCTCCTAATCGGAAGTTGATTTGAAAAGGAATCAGTTATTCTATAGACTGTTATAAAAGATTAACGTATCAAATTACCGACACTATGCGGCCAAGAGCCCTTTATACTGACACGGCACTCGCCAGCTTCATATTGGTAATACAGAAGTTTGAGTAACGTATCACAGACGATCCAAGTTGGCTAAAATCTTCATTGGCAAGTCATTCCGCCAAAATCCTCTAATGTCGCTGATTGCATTCGATTTAATAAAAGCTCGACAACTGAATGCGATACTGACATACTGTTTTTGCGAATAGTTCCCCTGTTTAGACAGTTTCTTTACAGTTGCAAAAAACATTATAAAACATAACATTAAACATTTAACTGCGAATCAAGGACAGCAAAGCCAACTTAATTAAATATTTTGCAAACAACGCAAGGAAAATTCAAAACCAACCTGAGGTACTGATTCCCGAGTGAAATGACAAAATGATTACAAGCTTTCACCTGAAAGGTCAAGATTCAACGGCAGATCTCGTGTTCAAAATGGAATTTATCCTCGAATTCTAGCTGAAGCGGTTGTATATGTCTTTCATCATCGAACCATTTCGAGAAACCATACCGAAAGCACGTGATGGATGTTTTCTAAGGATTGGACCATTCAGGGAAAGAGTTGAATCACGTGCAGGTATGAAAACTGAAATGAATATTTCGTCATTTTTGTGTCTAGTGCGTAACACCTAGACACCTTGCAAAAACGGTAAGAGATTCAGTGTCAACAAATGACATGCCTTAATGGTTTTTTGTGAAGTTTACAGTGCGTGTCAAGCTACATAAGGTAAGCGATCATCGTGTAACACAAATTTTGCAAGAATGTGTAGCCAGTAACGTGGCGAAGCCACGTGGATATTTAGTCACGAGATCTGTCGTGTTAAGTCGGAAATCCTTATTTGGTGAGCAAACTCCTGAGGTAAACAAAGGGATATTCGGAATCGAAGAGGCAAAGGTTGTAGAGGTCAATGTGCTTTGTTAACTGTCGCGTTTTAAGGAGGGACTCGGGTGGCCAGGAAAGTTTATTTTGGCGAGTAAACCAGACTTTTCTAAGATACTCATACCTGCTCTCGCCTTTATAACTTATCTTTTGTAGTTTGTTCATCGTCACTTTGCTGTTAATCGACACGTGGTTAGCGCCGGCCATAAGGTTAATATAGAGTTAACAGATTTTACGACTTTATTTTCTGCACGAGGATCCACCCCCCCCCCCAATTACGAAGACATTGTATAGTTTTGTATTTTCCTTTTATTTTAACTTTTAGATTCTTTGAAGTCGTTCAATCTTAATTTCATTTTGTAAGCCTTTTATTGGAATGCCCCAAATATGTGCGAAAAGTTATCGCAAATTGTACCTAAATTGTATCTATCTTTGTTTTACAGAAATATTTGACGGAAATTCACATGTTGAAATCTGTGCGATTTATTCATATCAAAATTGGGTGACCGCCTAATAGAGGTGAAAATGACACAAAGAGGCAAACAAAACTTTCGGAACTTTAAAAACTGACCACTGAATACGGGGTGACCGCTTAATACGGTTCTGCTTAATACAGTTCGACTGTACGTTTTTGTCAGTTATCCACCAACAAGCAGAACTCTTGTTGCGATGGTTCCCTGTACAAGACTGCTTTTACTTAAATCTGACATCTGTAACT